CCAGTGTGGTGTAGTGGTTAAGAGCGGTAGTCTCGTAATCTGGAGAACCGGGTTCGAGTCTCCGCTCCTCCACATGCAGCTGCTGGGTGACCTTGGGCCAGTCACACTTCTTTGAAGTCTCTCAGCCCCACTCACCTCACAGAGTGTTTGTTGTGGGGGAGGAAGGGAAAGGAGAATGTTAGCCGCTTTGAGACTCCTTAAAGGGAGTGAAAGGCGGGATATCAAATCCAAACTCTTCTTCTTCTTCTACCTGACTTGTAAGCCTTTCTCCACAGAAAAAATTATTTCTAACAATGCCGTTTCCTGAACCTGAGTGGGGGAACCCTGATCCCCTCCCAGTGAGGTTGAATGGAGCCACCAACACAGGCCTGTTGTGTATGGTGATGAGGCAGAAGGTGAGGGGCAGCCTGAAGCTGGTGCAATGACTGGGCCTTGACTGAGTCTGATGTCGTTACTTGAATGTAACAGGGCCAACTAGGGATCAAATATATTGTTGGAATGTCCCATTTGGGGTTTTCCCAGTGACTGCCTCCAGTGGCGATCACATGGCTGGCAGTCCTACCCACTCCCACATTCCTCAGGCAGAAGGAGAGAGGCGACAATGGCATCAATCCACAGGCAGTAGTTGGTGTGAGGCTGGGAGGGCAGAGGTAGTAGAATACCCTCCTCAAACCAACACACACACACAGAGAGAGAGAGAGAGAGAGAGAGAGAGAAGAATTTGAATTACAGTGGTACCTCGGGGTGCGAATGGGATCCATTCCGGAGCCCCGTTCGCATCCAGAAGCAAATGTAACTAGCGACGGCATGTCTGCGCGCGCACACGTCGCATTTTGCCACTTCTGCGCATGCGCGTGACATCATTTTGAGCGTCTGCGCATGCACGAGTGGCGAAACCCGGAAGTAACGTGCTCCGTTACTTCCGGGTTGCCGCGGAGCGCAACTCGAACGCGCTCAACATGAAGCATATTCAACCCGAGGTATGACTGTACTCTACAAGGCATATTTTTTTATGGCAGAGGCAAATTTCTAAACCTTCTCTAGCTTTATATCCTTTTTAAGGAAGCAAAGAAAAGATAAATTTTCAAAGACCAAGAATTCAAATAAGCACAAGGCCATCCTGTGTGTGGTTACAACTTTCAAAAACAAAATAGAATTTAAATATATATATATTAGTTTGACCTACTCCAGGTGGGTAAGCTATCACAGAGAAGGCCTTTTTGTTAGTAGCATCCCAGTTATGGAACAGTCTTCAAAGGAATTCTCGACAGATGCCATCTTTATGGGGTTTTGGCACCTGGTTCAATCAGGTCTTTTAAACAACTTATGTATGAGTTTCTTTTTAAAAATCTGTGTTTTGACTTTAGGAGGTGCCATGAGTTTTGTTTTTGTTGTATGTGTATTGATTTTATGTCTTACTTTGTATTAAATTATTGGATTTTTTTACTTATTTTAAGTCTCTCAGAGAACTTTACGTTATAGCATGGTGTACAAGTGCTATATATAAACAAATACATTTTACAGGGGCTCCAGGCAACAAGTTAGTTAGTTTATGTCCCAGATTAATCCATCACAGACTCTTTAGTATTTGCAGATAATCTTCTCTTACTCAAGGATCAAGCCTTGAATTACTTTGAGACTTAGGTTGTGGAGGATTTTACTCTCTACTAAAATCCTTTTCAAACAAATTGCCTTCACTTCCATGTACAATAGCATGCACCAAGTCCTACTTCAATAAACTATTTCCCATATATAATTATGTAGCCACTACAAAATTAGTACCAGATAGCATATTTTTGTGCCTTATAATTCGGTCATCTTTTTACCTCAGATAAGCCCTAAACCATCTTGACTGCCTGCAAAAAATCCCCAACTCTTTAATTGCTGCATGGTCTGGCAACAACTAAATAGTAAACAATCTCCCCAAAAGCTAGATTCATGCAATTGTTGTTCAGAGCCTAATGATCTTATTATTGAACATCTAGAAAGAGCAACAGGAGTTTTTGATGCTGACTTCAACAGGAGAGGAACTGCATATAGTAACATACATGCAAAAAAAATCTGTAAACCCATTAAAACTTTTATAAATGTTTAGTTTTTATGTAAATACTTTAAGCAGCAATTACATTTGTAGCAGGCAGGACTTGAGAAGCAGTTTAATGTTATAAGAATGTTATAAGTGCTCCCAACTGTGTGTTTGCCATGCTCAAATTACTATGAGTGTATGGGTTCTCTGGATGTTAGAGGTCTCTAGAACAGTGATGGGGGAACATCTGGTCCTCCAGATGTTGCTGGACTGCAATTCCCATCATCCCAGACTACCGGCTATGATGGCTGGGACAGGATAGAGTTGGAGCAGGGTCTAGCTGGGACAGGATAGAGTTGGCTGGGACAGGATAGAGTTGGAGCAGGGTCTATCTAGAGCAGGGTTTCCCAAACTTAGGTCTCCAACTGTTTTTGGATAACATCTTCCATCATCCCTAGCTAGCAGGACCAGTGGTTAGGGATGATGCAAAACCAGCTGGAGACCCAAGTTTGGGAAACTCTGATCAAGAGCATCGTGAATTCCCCAATCCTGCTCTAGGGTGTTTCCTTATTTGGTGGGGGGGGGGATACACTCTTCAGATTTTATTCTATCCCTGCTACCAATTGGTATACACTGTTATCTTGTTTTTCAAATTGCAAGGAAGGAAACGCTGCTGAAGAAAGCTAGCTATTGCAGCTCAGTATAGAATCTTCAATTAATATTTCAGATGCAAAGAAACGTTATCCAGAAACTATCGTGCACAAGCCAACACACGAAATACTTCAGAAAGGGACCAGCATTAAATATGACAAACTTGCATTGCCAATCTATTTGCTTCTTAAGCTCTGGGAGTAGGAGGGGAAATAAAGAATTCTCTGATCTTCCCCCATGAAGTTATGTGAATAGCAGGGTAGGATAAAGACAGTCACGTGTGCTATACAATTCAGACCAGGTAAGCTACTCCTACTGGGATTCTAGGAACTTTCAATGTAACATCATGAAAGACTCTTATTAAAATCCTTTCAGACAATAAATCACATCGGTTGGTATTGTATCATCAAAAACCTGCATTTATATCCCATTCTCTAAAGAACAGTGAAAATGTAAAGCTACTCAGAACAGAAAGAGTGAAACCAGACATGAGTATAAATGTGCTTCCTCTTATGCCTCCCCCCTCTTGCACCTAAATGGCTATGCTCCACTCGACTCAGGTTTAGCATCACCTTTCCCTAGTGTTAATCCTCATTAAAATGAGCCAAGGGATATTTATTATTTCTACCGTTTATTTAATTTGCATAATGCCCTTTATCCAAAGATTACAGGGCAGTTCACAACATAAAAATACAAAATGAGAATACATAATACATAATAAAACAAAACACATTTAAAAGGCCCTAGAATGTTTAAATGGCCCAAGGCTTGGTTTTAGAGAAACGGTTTTGCCTGACTCCTAAAGATATGCAATCAAGGCACCAGGTGAGTCTTCCTGGGGAGAGCATTCCACAAATGGGGAGCCACCACAGAAAAGGCCTGTTCACCACACCCTGGACCTCTCCCATAGGAGGCACACAAAGAAGGGCCTCGGGTGATGATTGCAGGGTCTGGGTTGGTTCATATGGGTAAATACAGTCCTTGAGGTCCTGAGCTGTTAAGGCTTTATAAGTCTTGGGGCCAAACTATAAAAGGATCCACACCACCTCAAAAAACTCTGCCGGACAGCACAATGAGGATATAATGGAGGCAGTTTAGGATGTTCCTAAACTGCTTTTGTTAAGAGCCTGTGTTAAATCAGATGCATTAGTCACATCACAGCAATGGACCAGATGGTATGGAAAATACTTAGAATTTAATCAGAGCTGAATGACAGCCATACTAAGCTGTCCTTAGGAACAAAACAAAACAAAAAATGCTTTGAGATATAGAAGCCGCTTTCTAAATTTAAATGTTTAAATGTTTGGAGATACTGGTGTGAACTGGGGATATTCCTTGGTTGTATATCCTCTGGAGGTCTTTCAAGGCAATTGTTAAAAAATACCGTATTGCAGAACACAGGTATACCTTTAAACAAGAAAAGTACACTTATATTATAGCTGCAACACAAACATAGCAACTCAAGACCTTTTGTTTCTCAAACAGAACAACAATTTTCTTTAAACTGCTGGATTTTAAAGGTTAGCTTCTTGAAAACTACGTATTATTTCTGTTATGGTGAATTAAAAACCTTTAGATGCACAGCACCCTACAGTGAGGCAACAGTGTCAGCTAAATAATCCATAAGTCACAGTAGGACTCATTAAGGAATCACACATCAGAAGAAGCTGGCCCAGGTATTCCTGCCAGAAGCATTCCAAGAAAAGTAGCCGTTCTGCTTACTTAGAGACACAAACCTGAAACACACAAATTAAGTGTTCTGCATATTGACCTTCAAAGTGATACACTCTTTTAAATGCTATTGACTACTTCTGCTCTTCATATATACAGTGTGAGTTCATGAAACACATTATCAATTTTTATCCTGGGAAAATGTCAAATTGCTTAAAGATTGTTTCCAAGAAATGGTCTGAGGGCCGCCAACACTTTTCTAGGGATGAGACGAAGCATCTCTGGTCCTTAAAACTGCATGGATGATGATCAACTGACTAGGGAGCATATATAACCACTCTTTGGAGGAAGAACATGTTAAAAGTGTAATAGATATATATTCTGCACAGCAGGAGCCCATGATATGCTTACAGCATTTTAAATTATATCTAAATTACCATTGAGAAAATGAGATAACCATGATTTG